GGTAAAACTATTCACGTACTACCTTAGATGTCATACAATAATTTACATTTAAATATAAAAGTAGTACACTGGGGAAATAGAGCACAAAGGTCTACTTTCTTTATTTATCATATTTGTGATCATTCAAGTTTCAAAGGTCAAACTAGAATTCACAGTTCGATTGCGTAGCACCTCCTGGTCAAAGGCGCAAACGATGCACATAGTAAAATTATCAACAGATGGATAATTCTAACGTACTATGATTTAGATCCAATGGTTCGTCTTCAAATTCTAATCAATATCTTATATTTTTACATTTCGAAACTTCGTCATTTTACGTACTTAAATTACTTCCAGTAAAAAGGAAATCACTGTCCACCAAAAAAACATTTGTTCTTACTTTTCTCCATGAGAATTTAAAGATTCCCATAATGAAAATAAGTGAACAACATTGTTTTCATTTAGATCCTCATCAGGTCTTACTATAACATATATGAATATTTATATGGAAATATCAAACCAATCAACGGAATTTATTAATGATTGTTTACAATGAAATAGATTGCATACAAATACGTAACCAGCAAAAGATAAATGTTGATAGTAAGAAGATAGGGGCTCCGGCAATAATAAGAATAACGAAATAAAAAAGTCCTAGTCAGTAGTTCAATATAGGGAGTAGGCCATATTTGAATAAATTGACTTGGAAATATTTTATACGAATATTCGTCAATATTTCAACTAATAGTTTAATAAAAATTGGTGAACGAGTTTATAGAAGACATTATTTATGGGAATTACATTTAAAATAATCTCAGTAATTGAAATTTAGATAATTTCAAAGTTTCATTCAAGAAACTTGTCTAAAATTCAAAATATTAGTATCATAGAGGGGTTGTGGAGATTCTAGTAATTTCAATAGTTGATATCATGAGTCAATTGTAGCTAGACTACCATAGAAAACTTGGAAGCACTGGACGGCCGTTTTGTCCTAGTTCGGGACTCCTCAGCAGTGCTCGTCCATGATGCCGGTCGGCTTAGTGGTCTAATGGTTAAGCTCCCGCGCACGTAACTGATAGGTCCTGGGTTCGAATCTCGCGAGGTGGGATCGTGGATGAGCACTGCTGAGGAGTCTCACAGTAGGACGAGACGGCTGTCCAGTGCTTCCAGGTTTTGCATGGTGGTCTAGCTTCAACTGACTCATGATCTCAACTATTGAAATTACTTCAAAATATTAGTCAAAAACAATATTATCTAAGAATTTATAACGTCTAATAATCAAATCAAATCTATGCTAAGTTCTTATTAAATCATATTCAGATGTTGATTTCAGTAAGTAGGGTGATATGAATCAGTAATATGTAAATTATGTGAAACGTTCACAATGTGAAAACAAATGATTGTACTTGTAAATTTGACTTATTGTTGATACTTGTTGAGTGAGTGTTATTTGTCTGTTCGAACTACGCTAAATGTGAAATAAACAGAGCGGATATAGATAAGGTTCAATTACTTGTTAGTGGTCATTTGCGAAGGGATGGCTAGTTGAATATCATCTCTTCTGTTCAGGCTGTTTTGATTAGGCCATACACACAGAGATTTTTTATCGCTATGAACTTCGTAGTACAAGCATGAGCTGACATATAAAGTATGTTTCAGAACCTGTTGATTACCGGTACATTAATTTTGAACTTAATGAAGAATAAAGACGAAAGCAGGTGAAAAGCGGGGAAAAAGAGGATGTGAAAAAATTAATAAAGTCGTTTATCGAATTACACCAGGCCAAGAAACGGACAGGTTTGTTACGGATTTCATCTGAACACACGAACTATGGTTATAAGTTGGGATCCTAATAGCTTCTGTCATATGTAGGAGACGAGACTGAACTCCATTGAAGAGTGACGAAGGTATGCAATAAATCAGTCGAAATCTTTTGGTTTTATCCATCATATGATCACCGTCAACTAGGTGTGCCAAGACAGAGATATGTATTGTCGTTGTCTGTCCCTATCCAAACAAAGCAGAGTGATATTCCTTCATTTGTTGGTTAAGTTGCGTGTTAGAACATCAAATGTAGCCATCTCCCCAGCTCAATTTGTAAATGCACATCAAAAAGGCAAGCTCAGGTAACTTATCCTGTGTTTGAGTAAATATCACTGGCCTACTAGAAAATCTCAATGCACAATTAACAGAGTAGGATGGCCAATGAACTCCCCTCGTTAATCTATCACAGAAGGCGTCGCTAAATACATCCTCGTTGAAATCGATCATTGACCATAGATTGCGTTGACTGGTCATACATTTTATAGACTCATGTCAGTATTTATGTATATTAGAGTAAAGTATAATGATGACCTCATTGAAAACAATTTTGTTCGCTTAACTCCGCCTCTAGCTCTTCTAGAGTTACTGCCGGTCCCAAGCCCGGGTAAAGGAAGAGGGTTGGGCATGAGGTTAGCGACCCCATCCCGTAGAAAACTAACTCGCTAAAAGGACGCTAACCAGTAAAAATAGTTCAAACCATTTAAACTCTGCCCTGGGAGTTAGGAGGTCTTCATTTAGAAGAACTATGACGCCTCATGTTGAAAGCCGAGTCCTTTCAAAAGCCACAAGGTCGATGCCCCATCTAACAACCAGAGCAACAAGTTTTACAGGTACATGGAACGTCCGGACAATGTGGGAGACCGGGAAGATCAGTCAAATAACAACGGAAATGAGGAGATACAACTTAGCAGTACTGGGAATCAGCGAAACCCATTGGACCCAAGCTGGACAACAAAGTCTAGATAGGGAAAAGACGATGCTATACTCCAGTCACGGAGAGGAAAATGCTCCACACACTCAGGGAGTTAGTCTAATTATGTCCAAAGTAGCACGAAATGTACTTGTAGGATGGAAATCTCACGGATCCAGAATCATCAAAGCATCATTCAAGATGAAAAAGGAGTGAATTACAATGAATATTATCCAGTGTTATGCACCCACCAATGATAGCAATGACGACGATAAAGGTCAGTTCTACGATAGACTGCAATCAATCATAGAGAAGTGCTCAAGAAAGGACCTCACCATTCTGATGGGAGACAACTCTGGATATGAAGATATCTTGTGTCGATATGGACTGGGAGAGAGAAACGAAAATGGGGAAAGATTCGCAAATCTATGTGCATTCAACAAATTGGTCATAGGGGGCACAATATTTCCATACAAACGTATATACAAAGCTACATGTACCTCAACGGACCACACCACAGAGAACCAGATAGATCATATTTGCATCAATAAAAAATTCCGAAGGACAATGGAAGATGTGAGAACCAGGAGAGGAGCTGACATAGCTTTAGCTCACCACCTAGTTGTGGCCAATTTAAAACTGAAGCTAAAGAAAACTGGACAACTGGACAAACAACACCACAAAGGTTCAATACAGCCTTCCTCTGAGATACTAACAAACTCAGTGAATTCAAGATAGCTCTCAACAACAGGTTCCAAGTCTTACAAGATCGACTGAAGGAAGAAGGAACTACTATCGAGGACAAATGGAAAGGTATCGAAGAAGCATCTACTTCAATGTGTCAGAAGTTTCTGGGAATCCTGAAGGGAAACGGAAAAGAGGAAGGCCAAAGAACACATTACGTCGGGAAATAGAAGCAGATATGAAAGAAATGAATGACAGCTGGAAAGAGCTGGAAAGGATTGCCCAGGACAGGGTTGGATGGAGAATGCTGGTGAGCAGCCCATGCTCCTTCACGAAGAGTAACAGGCGTAAGTAAGTAAATATTTTTCATTGAAAACCTTCAATTTATAAACAGTTTTTATCAATTTAAATTTATCACTTTTTGTATTTAAGTGATTGGTTTTATTCAAAATTTTAAATAACTATTTTCATTCGCACGTTTGAATTCTGCTTTCCTGAAAGAGTCATTCAATGTATTATGTCTCCTGAACACTGTAAACATGGTAATTTGACTTTGTTTTAGTGTCATTAAATGTATTCGGAGTAAAACAAAAATCAAGTAATCTTTATTGATGGAAAGCGGAGAGTTGGTTTTATGTCAGGCTCAAAAATCCTTTCATAGAAGTGTTGAAACGAATTTTGATTTTGCTCATAATCATATAAATGCAAAATAAATTCCCGAAAACTAAATGCCTAATTTCAATCTGTAATAGCTGTCTGTATAAACAAACCTGTTTTTAACAATTATGCTGAATAAAATTTCAATTGTTTTAGTTTTACGGAACTTAATTGGTGCCAAAGTTAAAAACTAATTAAGCATCACTGTCAAGTGATTCGTTTTATTAACCGACTTGAAGAGTTTCGGAAAGTTTGCATATCAACTTGACTAATGTTCGAGGGCTTAACAGTGGCACCAAGATACTTCCTTTCATGACGTAACTCCTATTTATCTCCTGGGTGACTTCATATCGCCAATTATTTATTCATGGATTATTTCCCCCGCTATTATACCCTGGTTAATCATCCATTAACTATTCAGTTCCTGCTTCAGTAGTGTTTTGATAATAAGACTTTTAGAGTATCTTGATAAAATTTAAGAACAATACGTTAAATAGTTCATTTGCAAATTTCCATCATTTGTCTTTCACATTCAATGCGATTCTTTTGATTCATAATTACTTCCTAATTTTGTTTCTGTTTTCTTCAAGTCAACCTTCATAGCATTCTGCTGCCAGGTTTTCCATTTCCGATTGGTATTTTATACTACTTATGGAGACAGACATAAGTAGCATACACCACAGTAGCATTATTTCTCATAGTAAAATATACTAATAATTATCCTATGAATGTTAAACTGTTGGAGATCAATATCCGATGCATAGCCCAAGTGATATAGTCTGGATTTGCTCGAGCGATGAAAGCAAATAAAAAAACTGATTTTAGGCAATTTTGTCAAAATTTTAACCAATCACAAATCAGGAAAATAACCAACTCTCTAGCAAGCCAGTAAAATTAGACCTCGTGAATAATTATAAAAAATACCCTAAGGGATTCAATAACTGGATATACAGACAGATTTGAATAAATGTGGTAATTCGAATCTTTTATATTCGTTACAATTAATAACGGCATTTTGATCAGCATATGAAATTTGTCTGCATATTTTTCTCGTGTTTCCTATCATCTTAAATGATTTACAATTTCAATATAAAAATGTTACATCTCTTTCTCATTCTACTTTTATTGATTTTCACATCACCAGGTAAGTTTACTTCAGATTTTTTGGTAATTACGCATCCCTAAATTCGACTGTGGTTTATATTGATGAAAATTTCAATTAAAATAAAATTGGAGCCCATTATTGTTAAGCATACTAAATTCACTTTGAAAAAGTGAAATTCAAGACACCCGTTTCGTCCTACTTATAACTCGTCAGCTGGATGTATCTGCATCCATGTTGGTATTCATTCTGGGACTCAAACTCAGTACTTTGCACTTTAAACATCTGGTGAATTATCCATCAAGCTACTGAATTCAGATATCCACTAAATTGTGCAATAGCAATGAGTTTTATTATTTATATGTGTTTGAATCCTCTAGTTGTTTTTTTAATGCTAAGGATTGATTTGACTTAAATCTGGTACTTAACATTAACAAAGGGAAAATCTAAACAATCACAAATAAAAAGGAAATAATATTATTAAATTTTCATAGGTAAAATAATAAAGAATAATGAATTTTCTTGGTATTGTTTAATTGAATCTTCCCATTGATATATAAGACTGCAATTGATCGGTCTCTTATTGGGATATGTGCATACTGTACTTATTGTCTCGATATTTTAACATGAAATCCAAAGATTCCATAAAAAGTCATATTTTTAAAGTAATTACGGAATGGTCACTTCAGAGATTAATTGTGAAAATCAGTTCACTAGTGAAGAAAATAATGTTACTGCTTTTAAAATGTGTGAAATTTAATTGCCAACTTGATTACAAAATATTTTCAGGAATTGTAAAGGTTATAATATGAAGTCATTTTAATTTAAAATTTAAGTTGTTTGAAAGATAACATATTAAAACTTTTTTTCATCCGATCTATACAAGTCTATTTGCAACTGAAAACAATTTTGAAGGGACCGATAATATTTCATGATGGTACTTAAAATTCCCTGTATTGTGAACTTAACTTGGAGATCTACTACATGACTTTAATTAATGTGTGTCATATCGTATATTCTGAAGATAGTAACATTAAGTGAAAGTGAGAAACTTTTTGATCACAAAACGTAGGTTGTTTAGAGAAATTGTAATCAAGACTCATCCGATGCATTACTTTTTATGTTTTCATTGAGGATTTTTTAAAACTATCAACCAATGAGTAAATGGCTTAATATAAATGTACACTAATCAATGATTTGGTATCGAACCACACCTTGTTCATTTAGCTCTTAGTGATTGTCAAAGTCTGCAGAATAATTTTTATTCATCTCTTCATTGTTTTGTCTGTAAACCTGAGGAACTTTATCCTGCTTACTTGAATTGCAAGTCCACCAATACTGGAGACTATATAAATGTGATACTATAACCAACCGATAACAAGTCAGCGTAAATACAGGAGGTCAGCCGTGACCGGAAAAGCTCAGATGTAACAATTATACTTGACAACATTTTGACAATCTTATAATTATGTAATGTTCTGCATTGTGTATTGTAACAAGCATTTGAGTAGATCCTAAATAAGAGAACGCTTAAATATATGAGGTATTATTAAAAGTCCTTACTTACAGTTATTTAATGTACCCATTAAACAACATATCAGAAAAATTTCAGTTCTTTCTTAACTCAGTATTCGAGAGCAAAATAATACAGTATTCTTTGTGTATCTTTCGAGTATATATATGACTAAATAAAACCCTGAAATTCTAGCTTCACATATTTATCCATCAATCTCATATAATAGTATCATTAGTGCTTCATTTGTATGAATAATAGGTTTTCTTAATACTAAATTTTTCAATCAAAAGTTATTTTGTAAAAAGAAACTTTTCAGACGTATTAAATCATTTCATCAACTTGAAAAAATCAAATGATAAACTTTTATTTTTGAGCAGGATAAAGTTGGGAAGAAAGTTTTTTCTAACAAAAACAAGTAAATTACTTTGTAATTGATGAAAAGAACTGTACTGACTGAATATCTAGAAAGTATCGTAACTAAATATAAAGTAACAAAGTCAATTTTATGAGCATTTAATGCAAAGGACAACACATAATTTTATTCACCAAATATGTTATATGTAATGGTAAGGTTCTATCTGAATGTGACAAATGTGAATGATGTTTTTATTTTACTGAAAGGAGTGAATTTCTTGATAGAGTTCCTTCAACTTCTTAGCTATAATTCCTGTCTTCCAGTTTGAAAAATATAATAATGTGAATTAAACCGATGTTACAGTGAGAAACCGTGACCAGTGGAATTCAATCTTGTCGAGCGTGAGACTGTTACCCACAGAAGACATTGGCAGATGGTCGTGCAATATCGTGTATTGATTGAAGTTATGAATTAACATCGTTGAATGCCAACTCAGTGGTCTAGGGATTACGGGTTCACGCGGAACCGAAGGTCTCAGGTTTATGCCTGTATGCAAGATCGTGAATGCCGACTTCTGAGAAGTCCCATGCAAGGACGAAACGGCGTCCCACTGCTTCCAAGTTTTCAGTGGTGGTCTTACATTTATCAGTTCATGATATCCATAAAAACTCAACTATTTGTTAGATGCTTCATAGTCTTCATTAGCATTCAAACGGTTAAAGAACACTTACACAAGCTTAACTCCTTTGCAGTAAGTTAGAGAATAACTTCAAAACCTATGTTATACCCACTATAAATATAGTAGATTTAAGCAATTCTATTACTGATCGGATTTCATTCATATTTATAACAGTGAAAAGTACATCAGTGAGAGCAATAAATCTACCAAGAACTGACATGATATTCATTTTAATATTTTTCTGAATTCAATGAACGAGGTTGAAAAAGTAATTGACTTATTCAACCATAAGGTTCAGGTGGATATTTAAATCAATCACTTTGTCCATATTTTAAGCTGAAAAATTGTATATGATAATATTTTCACACTAATTTTGACCCCGGCAAACCCACTTTCGACTTGTGAACATCAAGACTGAGTAACACTAATATGTTATCAGTGGTTTATCAATCGAGTTTTTAATAAGCTATGATTTAGCTAGCTTTTACGTCACTTTTTAAAACTTGGTAATTTCAGCAGTGTTTAAAGATCCTTTTTCTCAAAATTGTGTTTGAGTCTAACAAACTGAAGACCATGCTTAGATTTTTGCTATTCCCTATGTTGACATCTAAATTAAATTGAGTGTAGATTCACAAAATTTCATTCTCTACAAACACTTTGTACTGAAACTTTGAATTGACAGTTAATTTAGATCTTGAATATAAATTACATATTTAACTAACTTGGTTTCAAAATCAAGAAAAGATACTTCAAACTGTATTTTATTGTACTGATGATGTTTAAGATTATTCTTTGTTGTAAAATGCCCAAAAATCTTTTATAGTAGACCCTTCAAGACGTTCAAGATAATGATTTTAGTTTAAAAACCAAAGAATCCTCATTTCTCTAATGAATAATACAATGGTGACAAATCGATTGTGATTTTGTAGGTATCAGTGCCAGGGTTGTCCAGCACTTTCAGGTTTCCAGTGATGGTCTAGTTGATATCATTTCGTGATTTCGGTTGTGAAAACCCAGATAGGCTTGTTTGTAAAGACAACGGAAATCCCTCGATTAAATCGATTGGCTAGCAGAACGTAACTAAGACTAAAAACTCAAGAGTAATTTTTGATGATCTTTAACCATGTGATATAAACTTTAGTAGTATAATTAATGATAGTACTATCATTTTTTATGTACTATTAAATACTCAGTATCACTGTTGTCTGAAAGTAGGTCAACATATGGAGCTATTATACCAAGCGTACGTTACAGTTCATTATTCCTTATCATCTGAAACATTGGTTATGCAACCATCAACTAAGATTTTATTCAATTTTTACTTAGGAAATACTCAGCCTACATATTATTTTGAATCAAGTTATGTGAGAGCTTTCTAAATTTTTATTTCATAGCATTTGACTTGTATAGCGAAATTCAACTAATTATGAGTTTCCATTATTTAAATAAAATTAAGACATGAAATATCCGCTTTGTTTTATTTAATAACATGTAGCATCATATGATTATATGGACATTTCTATAAAAACACAGTCAGTGGATAGATTTTATCGAAAACGGAAAAATATATGTCATGTCAACAACTCAGATTAGATCACTTATTGAAAATTGATAATTCAACAGAATTTTCAAAACACTATAATATTCAGTTTGTGTATGAATGATGAATATAAAATTTCATATATTTCTACCGATTACTAACTTGTATTTTTGATGCCTAGATTTGAAATGTGTAGAATTGAGGAAAATATTAGATGTTGGCGGTGGCGCAGCTTCGTGGATTGGTTGAAGTTAGACATTAACACCGTTTGATGACGGCTCAGTGGTCTAGTGGTTAAGAGATCGCGCGCAAGACTGATAGGTCCTGGGTTTGAATCTCACGAGGCGAGATCGTGGATGCGCACTGCGGAGGAGTCCCACACCAGGACGAAACGGCCATCCAGTGCTTCCAGGTTTCCCATGGTGGTCTAGCCTCAATAGACTCATGAATTCGACTATAAAATTTCATATCAATGAGAGATGTCGAGGAAATTTAACCCTTCTTATTATTATATTATATGATTGAATGCATGGGAATGTTAAGTTTGAGTTAAGATTGAGTTAGGCTTCGCATTATACTATATGGTTACCCAGTATCATATCCTTTATAATTTCCACCTGCTAACTGAATTCACACGATGACCATTGGATTATACTGCCCACGAGTGAATACTATTTTAACTGTATAACTTACAACAATTTTCTGTTGTCATGTAAATCGTTCTGAATAAAACGAGGCTGATATTGGGTACTTTCTCCATAAACAAATCAATAAACCTTATTCATTTTTTATTCTACCAGTAACAAATCGTCACTTATATAGGCTTTTTACAATTTAGGTCATTTTTTTATTAAAATTTGTTATTTTTATTGTCATATGACGTTTACTAATTACATATTACAGACTAATACATGATTTACTGTTCATTTATAATATTTATAAATTTAACTGAAAGCACTGAATTAAGTGAGGTAAATTTCATAGGAGACCCACAATAGTACGAAACGGCCGTCCAGTGCGTCCAGGTTTTCCATGGTGGTCTAGTTTTAATTGACTCATGATTTCAACTATAGAAAGTTTTTTGTTAATTACTGTAATAAACAATGATTTATAGGGTACAAAAATCTATAAATAATACCATATTATAAGTGCTGCATAATGGTCTGGCTTAAACACAGTAAATTTCTAGAACAATTAACATTTTGTCAAGTAAATAGACATATATCTTATAAAAAAAACGTAGTATATACCCTGTATAGAGGGTAAATAATTGTTTGATTAAGATATATATATATATATATATATATATATATATATATATATATATATATATAAGATAACATGCTACTGTTGTGGTGTGGGTTACTTATATCCACACAAGTAGTATATAACGGTGATCAAACATAGGATGTATTTCAGTAGGTCGATGAGGAACGAAACGCAATTGGTATGAAAACGCATGAACAATGAAATCTGAGACAATGGATTGATGTTTGCAACAGGAAAAGTCAAGTTTGAGATGAAGGATTGATATTTTGCAAATTAACGATTCGCTAATATGGTTCTCAGATTTTATTGAAATGCTCTGTAATTTCGTGTCAAATACATTCGATTGTCCCCGCTGGTGTTCTGTTCACTACACTTTTAGGACACTTTTAATTTTAGGATTATTATTTATTACGTAACCATTAAAGTTATGATGATCATTCTTAAAAGATGGTTATATTTCGATATAATTTAACCTTTTGTATTCATTATAAATTCTTTTTGTAAATCATTCAATTAACAAATCTAATGAAAAAAATCTATTATTTCTATTTGATTTTAAAACTTTTGGTATTAAGAATTACTATGTAAACTATAAGATTAAACAAATTAGTCAGTTTTCAATAAAATAACATACTTTCAAGTTAATTACTATAGAACAAAAATTCATACTTCATACTGTTTCATAGAATAAACAATAATGATAGTTGACTATTGTTTAAATTCAACATGGAACGATAAAGTTTATTATTGTTCAGTTAAGAACAGTTGATAATATATTTCTTTAAGGTATTTAAAATTACAATACTTCAGCTTTTATTGAGGTAATATTACACAGATTTTATATAAAGTGAAAGTTATGCTTTTCTATTAATAACTGATACCGGTATGATAAGACTATCCCAAAAACAAGGATTGCTGAACAGTCATTGCATCATTGTATTGGACTAATCAACGATGTACACACAAGACACCAAGGTTTTGTGAAAAACACGAAAATATCCATCCATTGAGTCGAAACAGAATTGTGCATTAAAGGTTTTGACATTAACGACTCAGAATAAAATCTTTATCTTTAATATATTCAGGTGCTCGTAATAAAATTATCCTTAAATCTATGATATTTTATGAGTATTTTAAAACTTCATGAGATTTCTAGATAAGTAGATTTCTTTACGTTTACAACGTATTCATGTGTACGTAACAATTACAGAACAAAAATTCAACAAAACTCCATTAGTGCAATTTAAATTGGAGTTTAAAAGTGTACAGTAATTTCATTGAAATAATTAACCAATCTAAGTTAGGGCAATATTGAAAATCTGTGGGTACTGAACAGCCGTTCCATCCTCGTATAGGACTCTTCAGTAGTCCACATCCATGATCTAGCACATAAGCATCGAATACAGGACCTTCATTTTCCCACACGAACCCTTAAATTCCAGATCACTGAGTTAGCATCCAATAGTGTTGACGTCTAACTTCACTCAATTCACAACATTGCACGACCACCTCTCATTATCGCCGTAGGGTAACTAGCTGGGTTCTATTCCTAGGTGCTGATTCATGGGTGCGTACTACTGAGGAGTCCCATGTTGGAACGAAACGGCCGTTCAATGCTTCCATGTCTTTAATCATGGTCTAACTTATAACGCTTCATGATCACCATGATAGTAATTATTATTGTCATGTAATAATTATTTAATGATCCTCCTTCATTTTTTGTGCAACAGAAACCACAGAATGTGTGTTTTGATAACTTTCTTTACTCCTTTTCAGTTATTATTTTAGTAGTATTTATAAAAGAATTCATAATTGGAGATAATAAGTATGCTAGTTGAAGATTTAGTTTTCTCAAAAATCCGAAAAGTCGATTTACTCAAGATACATATAGTGCAATCACGAAAAACATAAATAATGTTCTGATGTTTGTACTATTGAATATGACATATGCTAAATTATCATTAGTCTACAAGAAATAACATGAAAGTTATTCAGTTTAATGAAATGTCTACTTTCTATTCAATTTTTATTAATTTCACTTTCACTGAGTATGAATATGAACTTAAAAGAAATAAATTATCTTATAGTTTAGATATTGAAAAACGACTTATTATTTACTGAAGTTAATAAAATCCATCTACTTAAGGATACATACATCATTATTCCTTGAGAACAAAATGTAACTAGGATTCTTTCATGCATTTTTCATACTTAAGTTCCAAAAATATTTAAAATATTGAGATCCAAAAGCTATTGTGAGTGAATTATTGATGATTTTTGATAGTTATTGCAAAGGAAAAACAAAATTAGAAAAATTGTTCGAACAGCAGCTGAAGCTGATGGAGATGATTACTCAGATGCACATATTTTCTCGAGTCCCAATTACACCGACAATTCCCGAATCAGTTGATGGTATTACCAGTGGTATTTCAGAATTTATTTATGATCCTGATGCCAATATTACGTTTGATACCTGGTTCAGACGTTATGAAGACCTTTTCAAAGTTGACTTTGCTGACAGAGATGATTCGTGGAAGGTGCGTCTTCTTCTTCGGAAACCTGGTCCATCCGAGCTAGATAAGTATTGCAACTTCATACTACCGCAGAACCCACGCTACCGTTCCTTCGATGCTACTATTCAGTTCCTTAGCCAACTTTTTGGTGATCATCATTCACTCTTCAGTACTCGATATCTCTGCTTAAAACTGGTCATGAATGAGTCCGATGACTTCTTGACCCAAGTCGGCGTTGTTAACTGTGAGTGCGAACGGTTCAAGCTCAGATCCCTCACTGAAGACCAATTCAAGTCCCTAGTACTCATATGCAGTCTTCAGTCACACAAATTCTCCGACATCAGAATTTGGTTGCTTAACCACCTTGAACAAGATCCAACACTGACACTCAATGCGATCATAGACGAGTACCAGCGCATCATCAATCTGCAGCGCGACACCGCTTTGGTTCAATCTGGGGGCCAGGGTGGTTCCGAAGTTCATGCTGTTCAGCAGCATAAAAAGCGCTGTTTCTGTCTCTAATCACTCCAAACCGGCTCAGAAGAAGCCCCCTCGCCATGTTGGCACTGTGGAGCCTGGCATTATGTGAAGTTCTGTCCATTCAAACAGCATGTGTGCGATCGCTGTCAGAAAGTTGGTCACAAAAGCGGCTTTTGCAAATCCAACCGATCCATTAACCGTCGAAATGCACAGACGCAGCGTCGTTTTCACAAAAAGCCGATTACCTCATCAAGGAGTTTAGCAGCAGTCTTCCATACTCATGCCGCGACTCGACACAAATTTCTGACCCTCTCAATCAATGGTCAGCCAGTTCGTTTGCAGTTGGACACTGCATCAGATATCACCATTTTGTCGAAAAAGACTTGGCGAACCTTGGGTCAACCTCCCATCAAACCATCCTCTCAGACAGCCGTCAGTGCCTGTGGGGGTCATCTCCGCCTTCATGGTGAACTCTATTGCTGCATTTCATTCAGAGGTACAACCTTCAATGGGACATGCTACATCACCAATTCTCCGCTCAACCTTTTAGGTTTAGATTGGTTCGAAGAACTTGGTCTCGCTGATCTTCCTATTAGCGCTATCTGCAATCAAGTCCAAACTACTGCTTCTACACAACAGCATGCTGAAGACCTTCGAAAACGATTTATTGAACTATTTAAGCCTGGTCTCGGACTTTGTTCCACAACTGAAGCTGTTTTAAAACTGCAGTCAGAAGCTACGCCAGTTTTTCGCCCAAAGCGTCCAGTCCCATACGCATCTTTACCTCTGGTTGACGCTGAACTTCAACGTTTGGAAACTGAGGGTGTCCTAGTACCTGTTTCTTATTCATCATGGGCTGCTCCAATTGTGGTTGTAAAAAAATCCAATGGTTCCATACGCATCTGTGCAGACTTTTCCACAGGACTCAACGCAGCTCTACAACAGCATCACTATCCGCTGCCGATCCCAGATGACTTATTTACTATTTTAAATGGTGGTACCTATTTTGCTAAGCTGGATCTGGCAGATGCTTACCTTCAAATTCCAGTCGCTCTAGAATCCAGAGAGTTGTTGACAATCAACACTCACCGAGGACTTTTTCAGTATACCCGGTTACCCTTTGGTATCAAAACTGCTCCAGCGATCTTCCAGCAGATCATGGACACTATTCTGGCAGATGTTCCTGGTGTTGCTACATACCTTGACGATGTCCTCATTGTCGGCTCAACTGCTGATGAATTGCATACCAGAACCCACTTAGTTCTGCAACGCCTCCAGGATAATGGTTTTCGCCTTCGCCCAGAAAAATGCCAATTCTTCTTACGTTTCGTTAAGTACCTGGGGTTTATCTTTGATGCTTCCGGACGACACCCTGATCCTCAAAATACTTACGCAATCCAACAAATGCCTGCTCCCACTGATGTCTCCTCACTGCGATCATTTTTGGGAATGATTAGCTACTATTCAGCATTTCTTCCATCACTGCATGACGTACGATATCCATTAAATCGTCTGCTAGAAAAGAATGCTACTTGGAATTGGTCAACGCAATGTGAGTCAGCCTTTTCAAAACTTAAAGCCATGCTAAGTTCCAATCTTCTGCTAACCCACTACAATCCGAAACTACCCATTGTGGTTGCTGCTGACGCTTCAACACATGGACTGGGTGCCGTACTCTCACATGTCTTTCCCGACGGGTCAGAGAAAGCGGTGATGCACGCTTCGAGAACACTAACACCTGCTGAGAAACGCTACGGCCAGATAGAGAAGGAAGCGTTAGCCCTAATTTTTGCTGTCCGGCGATTCCACAAATTCATTTACGGGCGCCGTTTCACCTTGCTCACAGACCACAAGCCGTTGTTATCAATCTTTGGATCAAAGAAAGGCATTCCTGCCCATTCTGCTAATCGTCTTCAACGTTGGGCGTTGGCGTTATTGGGGTACGACTTCGACATCCAGTATCGACGTTCCGAAGATTTTGGTCAAGCAGATGCACTGTCCAGACTTATCAGTAACCATTCTACCACTGATGAGGACACACTCATAGCCATAGTATCAACTGAAGAGGATTCCGGTGCTACACTATTAGCGAATGCCGTTCGAGCAATGCCTGTTACCGCTGAAGATGTTCGGGAAGCTACCAGAGAAGACCCGATTATCCAAGAAGCGATCACCTATGTTCAGAGCAGATGGCCAGTTAAGCAGCTGAGTGGTGATATGCAACAACTAGCGAATCGTCGCAGCGCTCTCTGTATTGTTAACGATTGTCTGATGTTCGGTGATCGCGTAGTAATTCCAACAACCCTACGTTCCAAAGTCCTACGCCAATTCCACTCTGGACACCCAGAGATAAACCGCATGATCAACCATGTCCGTTCTCCGCCATATCACCCGCAATCTAATGGACAAGCCGAAAGGTTCGTCGATACATTTAAACGAGCCATGCTTAAAGCACGAGGGAAGGGGACCACAGAAGATATCATAGAAAGATTCCTAGTTGCGTACCGGACGACCCCGCATAACTTATTGCCAAACTCCAAATCCCCTGCTGAGATGCTTATGGGGCGAAAGCTACGGACGGTTCATGGTGCGATGAAACCCAAGCAAGTGGCCCAGCAAAGCCCCCAGATGAAGAATACTCGAATTCCATACGAAGTTGGTACAAAATTGTATGCGCGAGATTATAGACATGGATGCGATAGATGGGTAGAGGGTGAAATCACAAAAAAACATGGTGATGTCATGTATGATGCCAAAGTGAACCAAGAAATCTGGACCAGGCACCACAATCAGGTCAGGCCAGGGGAAGCGAAGGAGAAAGAAGCAATTACAAAACACGTCCCACTCGACTTGCTGTTGGACACGTTTCAACTTCTGCCAATACCTGCAACAGAGACAACTAAGTCATCTACTCAAGTAGAACACCCTTCTGGTTCTGTGTGGTTGCCTCGGAGGTCGGATCGCAAAAGAAGATACCCAAAGAAACTTCAAGTAAACCCTCGGTTACGTCGCTATTAACTTTTCTAAAGGGAGGTTTTGGGATATTCAGAAAAATATCCCAAAAACAATGATCCGGTTAAGTCTAATGCTACCCTTGAACGTTGAATGGTGTCATTTTCCTATTGGTCGTTTCCCTACTGATCAATATTTATTTCGCGTGTCATTTTCCCGTTGGTCAATATTTATAGTAATCCTAACTGTGTAAATATGAATTTGTTTGTAAATCATTATTCTGCTGCTCCTGACCCCATAAACAATTTTTCATCTGCGGTTTGTGTTCTGATATATTGGAGATTAAGTAACAGTATTGGGGTCGTACTGGGATATCTGAAGACGACCAATCGGTAGAATTAGAGTAGCCACCTCGCGATTCACAATAGTATGTTAACAAGTAACAAGAACATGTTTTTCCCTTAATTATGAGAATTTCTGTTAGTTTAACTGTTAAGTAGAAATTATATACCGATGAAAACCATCTATGTACGTAAACCACAACCGTTTGTATAATTTTATTCATTTATCCTGAAATCCATCTCGGTATTTGTACAATTTACTCGAATCTACCCTGGTTCAACATTCATTTATCCTTTGAATGGATTAACACTGATTGTTATGAGTTTCACTACCGTAAATAAATTTGTGTTTCTATTTTTCAAAAATAGGTTTAGGTCATCGTTGTTATGTGTGTAGTAAGTGTCAAGACCCTTTCAGATATCAGGATACTGAGAAACAAACTGGTTGTACCTTCTGTTCAGTAAGTCATGAGAAATATACCTTTTATGTCAATACTTATAATAATTTTTCCGAAAATTTCCATAAGAATTTACGTAACTGATAACAACCATTCTACTTTTGCATTCCGATTATGCCATGCACTAACTGAAAGAAGTGATCAAAATATTGAAAATTGTAACGTAATAGACGTCAGCATCGCTCTAGTTTTTAACTACTTAGCACACTTTCCAAACATGATCTAATATTGAACCTTCTGTCTCACATTATCTAAATTTAACAATTTACCTATTGCTGTTATTGTTATATAATTTCATCGATGATCAGTTGTACTTATAATGAAAAACTATTTCATGTGAAAAATGCTACCATGTGATCACAAAATCGATTTTTTACCTTGATAACAGAAAAAAGTGAACATCGTCCTATTCTTTTTTGTACAGAAAATACTGTTCCTTTATCCCACTGCATTACTTATAATGTAAATGTTTGCAAAAATTCTTGCTCTGTTCTGTTGAGTAGATTTTACATAAGTCCACTTAAATTAATAAGAAAGAAATTTTTGTGGTTGGTTATTCCTTTAAAAAAAACTGGTGTATTTCAATAAATATCTCAATTTATGCAATTTAGTGAGTAAACAAACTATTTAATTCAAGTAATAATTTGTAGAAACATATAGTTGACCACACAAAGCCCTTTTTATATTTAATCATCTATGAGAGCTTAATCAACAGAGGTGATATTATATTTAAATCTCGAGTTGTACGCAATAAAGCATTTCTTATGCTTCTTGCAAATTTGTAAATAATTGGCGAAGTATTTTTATTTAATGACAATTACCAAAGCTCAGTAAAAATCCAGTACGATGAATCAGAAGTACAGGTAATAGGAGGAAAATTCAAGTGAAATGAAAGTAAATATTCAACTCTGACAGTTAACGGTAAGTGTTTCACTCAGAATATAAGTGTCCAACAGTTAAGTTACTGCAAGCTAACAATTCTTATCCCAGAGAAGGCTTAAAGTTACATTGGATGATTAGAGGTAATTTATTGAAAGCCTTAGAATTGGATTTCATATTATTTGAGATTTGTCGTCAAGGTGTACCTGAAATATTCAGGAAACAGCTAATTCACTCAAGTCTCGAACCAGCTTGTCCAGTGTTACAGTCAAAGATGCTACCATATGGATCTCGAATGACCTGAACGTTAACTGATAACTACTCGCTGATTAGTCAGTGTGTAAATCTAATTTCTAAAACGGGTCATTAGCTACTCGAAAAACTTAAAGACAATGTTTTTGATTGTTATACCAAGTGACACCATTTGAATTTCGTGGGAATACTCATTTTCCTTAAGATTTCTGGCTTGTTGACGAATGTCAACTAGCGCAAAACCTAGGTCAAATGGGATCTCTTGAAGACTGCCTTCATTAAAATAGTGCATAGTATGCTGAATCATTTAGAACAGTGACCACAACGGAACCCAATCTACAGAATTTAATTAATGATAACCCGGCGACAAGCATGAAGTTCGGTAACTATTTAGTGGACAATCAGTTTAAAAACAGCTCTATTATATACAAAACGTTTTTGAACAATAAAAAGGGAAAGACCTTTTATATAATAAATCGGGCAAACGCTATAATATCATTCATTACTGTATACAAAGTAAATTTAACTAGATTATCATAAGATTATATAAAAAGTATCATACTTCAACTGTCAAAAGAAATAATCTTTTGACTGGTCACTTGAAAGAAGTATGAACAATCAGACTAGTGTGTTGAAAATTATCCGCCGAGCAGTTGCAAAGAACAGTGGGGTAAAAATATTAAGCCAATACTTAATCTGTGGGAATAATAAGAAAAACCAATTACAAAATAATCAATTAAAAATGTTATTAGTTTTTGAACAACCCAGTCTCCTTTTTTAAAAAAACATCCATGTAGTGGAACTTCGAGTTCAATTCCGTTTCTGTATTGTGAATTTAATTGGCTGGTGGTAGCTACCAAGCTCGTCCTAGATATCACTGAGTTCAATATTTTTGTCACAAACGATAAAAGTATCATACATATATCCCTCACATTTTTCTCTAAACAAGGGCTCAACGTGACCTTAAATTGACACTGTTTAGACGATAATAAATTTGAAATAGCATAATTTTTATCTGTTAGTGGCTTAACGACAGTGACTTCAAGGCTTTAATAGTGAGAAAGCGGTTTTCTACATACATTCCTATACTTTTGTTTATTTTTATGTTTTGTTGTCATCTCTTCACTTTCTTATATGAACATGGATTTGGCAACATTATGGAAAGTTATAATGTTAAAATATTCATATTTTACTAAAGAAATAATCTTAGACTCTATGAATGATTACTTTGATATTTTATCAATACTCAAGAAAAATGGAACAAACGTCAATTTTCTGAAAACCTTATATAGTTTTGTCTCATCTGTTAGCTTAGTTTTTGTCTAACTAATATATTCTTTGTTTAACGCTTTTCTATTTTTACCAACAGACAATAAGAACATATGTACAAGATAAACTACAAGTGACCAGTCGTAGTTGTGTTCCGGTTTGCGTTGAAGCTGATGCTAGGAGATCCGGGTCAGGAATTGTTACATCGTGTTGTCAAGACGATTTATGCAATTCTAGTAGAAAAACACAAATATCCATGACTGTAATCTTATCTTCATTACTTTTCATACTACCATTGTTATCAACTTACTTTTAATAAAAAATAAACTGATACTTCTTGCCCATTGCACTTATCATGAAAAGTTTGATTATCGTATATATTGCTTCCAAATAATTATAGAATTTATACTTTATTTATTATGACTTAATTATGCTTCATTCACACCATCATTTATTCTTCAGTAATAAAATATTTATTATTAGAAGGCAATTTTTTGTTATGATGTGGTAATGATAACACATATCGATCATATTATTAAACTGTCCCAGTCGACAATGAATCTAATTTTGATAAGTTATATAAACTTTGAGTAATTAACTTGTTCATTTTATTATTATCATTGCATCTAAGCTGATTTGATTTCAAATAAATTAGTTAATAAATGATCAGTCAATGAGTATCAATAATAACAATGATCATTAGTTGAATGTCAAGTAGTCAATAGGATTAGGTAAAAAAAAAAGATAATGTAACCAAACTAGTTAGTAGCATCGAGTACAGTTGATGTAAGTATATAGTGTTTAAACTTATTAGTGGTCAGGAAAACACACGTTCCTAACTTATAAATCACAAAAATTCTATTGAACTTCATTTGTTACACAATTAGTTCTTTATTATACATCATAATTTGTCTTATAATTGTTCATCACACCGATTTTACAGCTTTCGGAAACGAATATGTCAAAGATATTATGAATACATAAACGAACTTTATGATATATCTTTATAAAAGTGGACACCGTCTTTCTAATGGTCTACCTTTTCGTTGAAGTTTTTTTATGCACTAAACGTACTTAAATGGTAAAACATTTTGTGAGAAATAATTGTTATCTTGTTAGTCTCAAACAGAAATCTTCATTTTAATAAAAGATCCAGAGGAAAAACTATGGTACATAAACGTGCTACTAAGAATCGGGTAAGGAATTTTAAGGTGATGGCGCATATTTCAGCATAAAATGCCTACCTGCGATCGGTTTGCTGCTGATTTCCACAAGTTGAGCAACAACAACAGGTGGGATAAGTGACAAGATCAGTTATTTATGTTGCATCCGAAGAAGATCAAATAAATGGTTACTTCCAGGAATGATTTAAAGACGGTCAAATATATATTTTACCATAAGCTTTCATTTGACCTGTTGACCATTATTATACGACTTACTATTTGTAATCTACTCACAATCTACTAGTTACGGTCTCCCATATTCACAGCCACTTTTCGACTGATCTCTTATAACTGTTATCTCCTTATTTTATAGTGTGATGTGGTCTGGTCTGACTGTACCGAAACTATGCATATCTGAAATATCTGATTCATACAGTGGAGGTGGATATTGTGTTGTGAACCGGGTGAGTAGGGCTATGTGATGAGCAACTGTATCGTGGACGACTAAGGATTCAGAGTTGACTCATTGCAGGTAGTACTAGTTGGTGTGCCATTGGTTTAACACAGATACGAGGTAACAGACATCGATATTCTGATTGAGGATTTTGTCATGTGACAATTGATCGGGCCAAAAGTCATATAAATTTGTGATTGTGGTTTCAAAATGACTGCTTGATAGTGTCTAGACTATCGCGACGATGTTGTGTTTCCAATATAATGTATATTGGAGTGAGAAGTCTTCAAGAGTGTAGTCATTTTATGCCCGATCTAAATTGACACTAAAAAAGTGTGGTGTTTGTATGAACTAATAATTCTTTTGTACTTGATGTCTGACTGATTTTGAATTATAAATGCATTACGTTCGTTTGTGCTCGCCTAGTTCTGTTTGGTTTAAATTGTGCTATTCGGAAATTCCTAGTTAGTACAATAATTCAAATACTTCTGATCATCGCACTGGCATCGCGATGAAGCCTGTTATAGGACAGTTGGACATGCCGTAATGACCTACTTTTATGAAGAGAACGTGACTGGTGTAATGGAAACAATTATTATTATGACCCGTTGTACCAGTGGTTGTTTTACTGTACCTGTTTGATTAACGGTACTAAAACCTTACCTTCTTCCGTCAACTGTGACTTCGCACGCTTTTGTTTACGCTACTCAGTCCCGCTTGTACTATTTGGGACGATCTTGGTATTGTTTCGATACCACGAGATTGACGTCAAGTATATTCTATTACGACAGTCAATTGCCTTTTGGTTTTTGGTCTACGAAGGGATCAAACCTAATATCTGGTTCGTAATCTTCCTGTAGTGGTGATCATAGTCAATCGCAACTCGACGCCTACTACAATACAATCAACTTTTGGTGCGTTTGAGGATTATATGGAAAGGTTCGAAATCGGGGCTGTAATCAAGGAATATGTCTATATTTTGGCTCATTTCCTTGTATTAGTCGGAAAAGAAGTCTACAGCCTCCTAAGATCTTTGGAATTTCCAGAAAAGCGTATTTCACTTCTTTATGCAACTCTCAAGGAATTACTAGACCATGTAAAGTGTACAGATTTCTAGAAGTTGCGAAGCAGGTCACGGAGAAGAGCACAATTTTGGTTAATGTTTGTCCTGTGGCAAATTTCATTCATGTAATTCATGTGTATTTCGTAATCATAGTGCTTTAAATGTAAAATTGGACACATACAGGCAGTTTGTAAAACTACCATTTGTTTCGCTGCAATTAATGATAAACTTTGTAGTTTCGATCTTACTAAGTTGAATATTTCAAATGAATCATACTGTGGTCAGATTCATGATATTATATAATCAGATATGCGTTGTTCTCATGATTCATGTATTTCTAGCGAGATTATTTACAAATATATGGAAGATATATCGAGTGCACCAAATCCTTATCAGAACTCTGGTGTTATTTTATCAGGTGTGGTTTGTCCTAATGATTCATTATTTCTAGTGTAATATTATCTAAATAAGAGAAACAAATTCTAAATGAGTTAAAATCTGATTATAGTCCTTATGGTGTCACATCAGATGTTATTTGTCCTCACAATGGATTTATGTCTAGTGATATTACTTTAGCTGTAAATCAATCCCCAAAATGAACAGATCTGTAAGTCTTTGACATTGGATGCTGACCACGTTAGTTTTAATGGACTCACCTAGCAGAAGGCGCTCGGTCATGCATCCATACCAGATCACTAGTGGGAACGTCGTGCTCAATATCCCCTGAAATCGCTAGCCAATTTAGATCGGTCGATCCTCGATATTTTGATAGCCTATCAAATATATCTTCGAACCTCGCTTCCGTCTTTTTATTTCACTTGGTGGGTACGATTTATAGTAGGTGTTACTGATCAAAGCGTTGTCAAACTTCAAATACTTGTGGCATCTTCATTACTAATGAATGTGACAAATATGTTCCGAATGTGTCGAATTTTAGTCACATTTCTGATGTTATTATATCAGGTGTTAGATATTCTCAGAACCAATGTATGAAGAATTGGTATGATGGATCAGACGTGATAGCAAGTTTTCCAAAGCATTAAGAGAACCTGTTTTTCCAGGTATGAAGTTTGCACAGGCAGAACATTCGAATCGAGTCCAAAATTATACTGATGAGTAAGAGACAGATCCATATTTTCCATTTGCTTTGCAGATGAATCACATGTGTTAATTATACATACAAATGTATATTCAACTGATAACTGGAACAATGGCCTTATGTTTTCTAACGTGAAAAGCAAAAGGAATATGTATCACATTTTTTCTGAAAGCCAAATTCACATGAAGGAATACCTCAAATTATATGTCAGTATGTATCCCCAAATACTCACATATAATAATCGAAGTGCGAGGTATGAGAAGATAATGCGAATTGGAAACACCAAATTGTACATGAAATTGCGACTTAAGGATCCAACATTAGAACGTTGGAAAGTCCATGGTTCAAATTCAAAATATCGGAGGTTTCAGTGCACAACCGACATGTTTATCATCTGCAATTCTAAGATCCAGAAGAGTCAGTTTCAATTTCAAGCCATGTACCACAATGTACACAGAAAACTAGAGGAAATATAGATGCCTGTCGGAACGTAATTTCGTAAGTTGTGTCATTGACAACAAGTCACTGCACACTCGGAAGCAGGGATAAACACCAACAATATATAGAAGCAATGTAGTCTGGACTCAAATAATTTCCGCAAACTTATCACAGCTCCACAATTCCTTTCGTAGAATCACATGGATGAGTTGTAGCGGTAAACAAATCCACGAAACGAATATTTCTATTGGTCTTCGACATCGATGGTGACCACATTAGTTTTACTGGAGACACCTAACTGAGGCTGCTCGGTCACGTATTCGCACCAGACGACGAGTGGGTACGTCGTGCTACGAACCCCTTACAAGTGTTAGCTCAGACTGAACGTTTCCCGGTATATCTATAGCCTCTAAAATATATCTTCAGACCTTCTAGTTTCTTACTTGTGATTTGACTGGGTTGGTACACTTCGATTATAAAGGTGTTACGTGTAAATGTGTTGTCAAACTCTTAATAACTGTGGCACCTTTACGTCTTTCACAGTATACATTATTATTTCAGATAGGTGGAGTCCTCTTCTAACCTAAAAAATCTGATTTACGTTGCATTAGTGATTTAATCATATCAAGAACAAATAAATCACACTTCGTTGATTTCTCGGAGAGGTGGAAAATTTTATGTATCTGGGTAGCATCATCGATGGACAAGGACCTAATGCAGATGTAAATGCAAGGATAGGCAAAGCAAGGGCAGCATTCCTACAGTTAAAGAACATATGGGACCCAGAACGACTGTCTGAGAGCCAAAATCAAAGTTACAGTCTTCATTACGGATATCAGAAGAGTTCTACTGTACTGATACCATCAGCAACGGCCTTCTGTCCGAGGGAACAGATCAGCCTCCAGGGGTAGAGGAAATCAGGAAAGATGCTGGATGTGGAGTGGACATACATTGCGGGAATCATTATACTGCATCACGAGGCAAGCCCTAACTCGTAATTTTGAAGGCAGGAAGATAAGAGGAATACCAAGGAACACATTGAGTCGGTAATTGGAAGCATGTATCAAAAGGATGAATAATAACTGAAAACAAATGGGAAGGATTGAAGAGGACATAGTTGGTTGAAAAATCGCGTTCGGCGGCCTATGCTCATCCACGTGGATTAACAGGAGTAAGTACGTAGGTATTATAAATGTTACAACTTTGGGTGCTAAATACTTATATGAGATTATACTTCATGAACGACCTTTGAGGTAGTGTAAATTGACCTTGGGAGGCTACAGCCTCGCAAAGTTCTAGAGGTCCACGATTTGTGTAACTCCTCGTTCTATTCAAGGTTAAATCGAGGATGCCTGATAATCAGTAAATCTGGAAATGGTGTCATTTATCAAAATTATTAGTGCCCTCTGAGCTGCAATTAGCAAAGTTAATCAGTAGCAATCAATCAT